TTATTAATCGATAATCTACGAGATATTTTTGAAAAGATAATTGTTGACACGTACATTGATTATGACTTGTAAACGGTCTTGCATTTAATTTATTTCATCTAACTCGGAAATAAGACAAGCATAATTATAATATGAATACATTTAAGGATAGACGATCTCAAGTATGAGCAAAATAAGCAATGACAATTTTCGGAACATTGTTAATTCTGTTATAGTTACAAATTGGTTGTTGATAATAAATATTATAAACAATATATTTAACCAGCTACTTGCCCCGGCTTCGCACGGGTGCAATGTATTATACATGTACCCTTCCTTTTGAATCACTCTATATAGTAAAAAAACCGCATCAAGATCCTTTGAGTAGTTTTAAAGATCTAAGCATACATAGGGACAGACAGCAGGACTTTGTTTTATACTATACTATGTATTTAATAGTATGCTTAATGAAAAACGTTCTAACAACTCCAACCATAACGGAAACGGAATGATGATGCCTTACTAGAATCGAAACGAATGAACGTCATACGATTATTTATTGATCGATGCCGGTCTTCTATCTATGCGATCTCTTTAATTCACGTTTGCCGTTATTTATCGGCTTCCAACCGTTATCCGTCGTAGGTTTCGCCTTTAGTATGTTTGGGTGATAGCGCAACTAAATTTCTTGATTATTTAAATTTTATATACAGAAAAATATTTGCACGAAGGGTTCTGAAAGTACTAACGGTATTTTCCGGCAGCGAACCATTTACACTGCTGTATCCGTTGGTATTGTATATATATATATATATATATATATTTAGATCACTATGTCACTCGAATGATTGGGCCGAACATGAAATCTATAAGTAAGCTCACGTAACCCAGAATAGCTATATGAGCACACAGTTTGGCACTATGGCGAGGTGACCACTTTTGGTCCAGTTTTATAGATAAACTAGCGACCCGCCCCGGCTTCGCGCGGATGTAATGTATTATACATATAAACCTTCCTCTTGAATCACTCTATCTAGTAAAAAAAAAACGCATCAAGATAAGTTGCGTAGTTTTAAAGATCTAAGCATACATAGGGACAGTCGGCAGCGGGACGACTTTGTTTTATACCATGTAGTGATGTACCACGCGACGACATGACAAGGAAAGTGGCCCTGCCGCAATTGGCGAGGCCGGTCGATTCACTCCAAGATCCGCTTCGAACCGCCCACTAACGCCGTCGGGGAATTCCCTTCCATGTTTATCTTTATCACTCGTGCAGTTAATGAATAACTGTTGCGTAACGTATACGTTCCTGGATAACCACTGTACAAGGTATAACGACACGAGAACCCATTTAGGATTGAAGGAGATAATGATGTCTTAGGATCCACCACCAGCGGATTGGGGATCGGGGCAGTATCAGGAGTATGTGGAAATCCCGTTCAGAAACGGATACACGTTTTCATGTCTATCGCATCGGCCGGGGTCACGGTAACATGTAGATACAGTCTTCCGTGACTATGACCTTATTAGGCATCCTCTTCTCGGGTACACCCTGTGCCGATGCAATTGGTCCAGGTCACAAGCCCCATATTGAGCACCAGACACTGCGTTCCTGCATCAATCCGTATCCCCAATACCTCACTTTCAAGAAAAATTTGCTTTAATTTTTTTTTCTTCTATCATGTTATCGTAATTACAATATCCTTAAGAACTATATCGTAATCGATAGAAGTAAATCGTGACATTGCGTCCAATTAATCATTGGGTGTGTCAATCCGACCCAAATTAAGAAATAAGGCAAATGATAATGAAAACGGGAGCGATTACGCGATCGGAATTTATGTACACGTCACATGGTGATATTTTTGTTTGTTAGAATTTCGTCAAGAGAACGTCTGCTTCTATAACGGAATGCGTGTTTCTCGGTCAATGAATTGCCAACATCTCAATGTTCAATATGCAGCATACTTAAAGTATTACGAAAACACCGTGGTATTCGTAAAATTGGGAAATTCAATTTATTGTATTCAGGAAATATTGAAATAGACACGCGAGAGAGCGGCGGTTTCTAGATAGATTAACGCCCGGTTTCTGAAACACTGATCATCGTAGATGTCAACTAATCGGCTGTCAAATGGCTTTTCAAATATCATTTGAGTTGCCAAATGGATGGTTAAACTCTTTGAATTGATCAATCGGATCATTAAGAAGATCATTCTGCTCAATTCGGAGAGTTTAACCAACCTTTTGGCAACTAAAATTAAATCTGAACAGCCATTTGACAGCTGATTAGTTGACATCTACGATGATTCGGATTCTGAAAAACCGGGCGCTAGACTTCGAGTTGCCATCCTTTTCGTCCATGTTGTATCTTTGCTAATCATATCGATACGTGCAAATTTATTAATCAATGCATTTATCTTCACACGTTCCGCCGTTTATTGCACAAGTACATGGAAGGGATCACCCTGCTATCCTCTCTGTGTCTCCTGCTTGATACACACGACTTCCGCACTACTGTATTATTTTAACTATCCCAGTTTCGTGGGCATATATAAAACATTGAAACAGAGAGTTATCCTATGCTCAAAGTTTTTGTCGCGTTTTTTTGCCATAGGAATATATTTGCGTTAAGAAAATTGCCCCGTGTTGGGTAACCACAACACTGCGTTCCCGAGGCCACTTACAATCTTTTTGAAGCGTCTCAGTTCAGTATTTATTAAGGGAAAGGGGACCTATATATGTCCCACTGCTGGTCAAAACCCTTCTCCGTACAAGGATTATTAGGGCAAAATCCACCACGCGACCCTACCGAGAATTGGCAGACTTCAGATTTCGCTATACTGATTCAAAAAACAATTCGGCTAAATGGTTAAGGTGGCCCTCGATAAAAGGTCAATTGGTTACTTACGAAATATCTTATCAGGCATTATATTAGGGAAAACCGCGTCTACTTGTATTGCAACAATACAAGTATTTGCAAATATCCTTTTTAAAATGCTATCTTTCATATCTCTCGATCGTTGTAGGTTAATATGAAAGTCACTTTTCTCAACATTGTTAACCTCCGCACTTAGAGGTCCGCCTCATAATGGATACAGCAAATCGATGAACCAATTTGTTTGTATCCGTATTTACCTTTGAGTTCATCGTGGTTCCTTTAAGGCAGTAGTTATACTGAAGTCTATAGTTTATGCCCAACTTTGTGGGTGTTGACCACCACCAACTGCATCATCACCTAGCGTCAGATAGGTTTGCCTTACCACACCAGAGCGTGCTGAACGCTAAAACTAATAGTTGCCTATGTCGAAAAGTTTAAATTAATTACCAACACGAAAAATTTTTAACTGTAATAGGGGGCCACGCAACATTCTTTACTGTTGTACGAATGGGCAGATCCGTCCGGGGAAGTAACACGACCTCACGATGACCAGCGTGAAGTGAAAGTGTTAATGCTTTTCGACTAGAGAGTGAGAGGTAACAGGGGCTCATTTTATTAAAAAATGCAACGCATCTGCAACCAAGGTGTTGCAAATGTCGGGGCTTATCACTTAACAACTGGTCAACTGCCAGCTATACACCTCACATTAAAAAGTAGTGTCATTTATAGTTAAAGTTTTAAAATCATACCCTAAGAAACGGACGAGACATCTTATTTTCAAATTAGAAACGAGGCCAGGCATCCTTTTGCCGCGCTTGTTTAACAATGCCACCCACCGTGACAATATTGGCCCGAAGACGTGACCAGTTTGCTTAAGTGTGTTTGTAGAAGGAAATGAAATTTAGTCTATGGTAATATTGGGGATACTATTAGAACTCGACTTATAACCACAGATTATCCTTGAGGAGCCATCGTTATTTGACTTCTCACGTCTTTCTATTCTTTTTTACCCGACTGCTCCAGAAGGAGGGTTATGTTTTTCAAGGGTATGTATGTTTAATTGTTTGGCACGCTCTGCCTAAACGGCTTGATGGATTTTAGCTTGAGAGGTGTCGTTAGATTCGTATTTACTGTGAGAGTGACACTGGGGGGTATATCAAAATCATTTCCAAATTACACACAAACGCAGTCGGGTTTTTTAGTTTTTTAAATTATATCTACTTGTTTGTTGTATTGTTTAGTGTTCATCATCATCTTAGTGGAGATATAAAACAAATAAATTTTAATTAACTTGGAAATGCATACCGCGTAAACAAATCTACGCTTTCCAATGAAGATCTTATTCGTAACTTAAGCGCAGATATTCGCGAAGTGCCCTTAGTTACGTGTAATATTCAAAATGATTCGTAATTTATAACCCGCTTGTATGATGTCCCTTAACCGGTTTAGTATGCGGAGACCTGTTCCAAAAATAGCCAACTGATGGATCATTATACATACGCTCCAAAGAGGTTTCCGGTTCTCCTATTTATGATTTAAGTCTAATTTTAATGGATCGAAGTTTTATCAAATCCGTTTGAGGAGTAGAAATTTTAGTGGGTTGGAATTTTTTTTTTAAGATTTTTATAAACGCTCGATTGTACCCGCTCGGGAACACGGTATGTTCAATTCGTATTCGTAGCAGAGTTTGAACTATAGGGTTGCCACGTGTGAATGATCTGTTCGACCGAGATCCCCAATGTAATCTATCACTCAGTCATCGGGCTATCACCCCTAGCCCGAGTCTCTGTGACTACTTGGCATTGTTTGTGAGCCCTTTTCTCAACGTCCAGTACTCACGCCTGGTTTCTGAAACACTGATCATCGTAGAAGTTAACTAATCAGCTGTCAAATGGCTTTTCAAATGTCATTTGAGTTGACAAAAGGATGGTTAAACTCTTTGAATTGATCATTCTGATCATTAAGAAGATCATTCTGGTCAATTCGGCGAGTTTAACTAACCTTTTGGCAACTAAAATTAAATCTGAATAGCCATTTGAGAGCTGATTAGTTAACTTCTACGATGATCAGCGTTTGAGAAACCGAAACCGGCCGTCACTCCCTTCTCCCTACTGGAGCCTCCGTGTCACCTTTGCAGGCGATGGTGGCCTGCTACCCCGGCTCGGGCAGCCACTACGTGAAGCACGTGGACAACCCCAATAAGGACGGGCGCTGCATCACCGCCATCTACTACCTGAACCTCGACTGGGACGTGAAGCGGTGCGGCGGACTCTTGAGGTGGGTCAAACCAATTCACGCGTATGGACGTCAACTGGCGGAGTTTTTTGCGGGCGAGAAATGGCGTTATCCAAGGGGGGGGCAATACGAAATCAAAGAAGAAGAATCTAAGAGAATTTTGAATAAAATGGGGCCCCGGCAACCTAACTTATTGATGACTCCGTGGCGCAGTTGCCAACTGGGGTCGCGGGTTCGATTCCCACAAGGAACAATTTTATGTGACCCACAGATAGTTGTCTCGCATCTGGGTGTTTGGCCACGTGAAATTTATTTTTGTAAAACGACCTTACAACACAGGATAACGTTATTCTAAAGTAACGATAATGTTTAAAAAAATAGAAGTAGAACAGAACTCACCCGACTAAATAAAGTATGATACTTCTACTTCACGCCGACGTACTGTCCCGAGGACTTCCCTGGATGCTCCCCCCCTTAGGCTCAATGCTTGTTAGCGTGTTCACTATTGTCACTTGATTATTCACAGGGTGTTCCCCGAGGGCACGAACCAGGTGGCCGACATTGCGCCCATATTCGACCGCATGCTGTTCTTCTGGTCCGACCGGCGGAACCCGCACGAGGTGCAGCCCGCCTACAGCACAAGGTGAGCGATTGTTGATAACGGGTACAATTGAATAACTTAGAATTATAGGTGAATGTCGGAATGAAAAAGTTGTTATTGGTTGCCATGGTAACACTGTGAAGTTGTAGCTTTTATGAGTCGCGCATCGTAAGAACTCACTCTCATCAGTTGTCCAGATGCACCAAAGGACTGCGGCTAAAATGTACCTGAACAATAAATGGCCTAGGTTTTTTATTTTCATTTTTATGTGGCAACTAGCAAGGAGGTGGTTTGGTCGATGTTGAATCATAACCGTCGCAAATAGATGGATTAACAACGCAGAGTAACGCATTACAACGGATAGCAAGATAAGCAACGCATCTTCAACACCACTGGTGCTCAAGCCATTCTAACCTTTAAACGGGCGGGACCATTACCAAACTCACCGGACGAAACGCCATGCCCATATGAGAACCATCAGAAGCTACTGCATGGCTCTCATACAGTAAATAACGGTGTAACAAATTAAGCGTACATTTACCACGTACTAAACAAATCATTATATAATATCAATAAACACGATCGATTACTCGTAGAATAGAACGTGCGTGTCTATTTTAAAATATCTTAACAAAATCACTTTTTTTTTCAGATACGCAATCACATTGTGGTACTTCGATGCGCAAGAGAGAGAGGAGGCGCTCAGACATTTCAGTGAGTGTCCAACAAATATTCCTCGGTCTCGCTCGTAAATGACTAATGTTGCCATGTGAAAGAAAATATTTTATTTTATTTTTATTTTATTTATGTATGGGAAACTTACAGCTAAGAAGCTAAATAGAAAAGAGATAGCCATTTGCAAGTTCTCGCAAATAGATCAAGGAGTAATAACTTGAGATATGTAGAGGTAACGATAAAAAAGAGGAATAACAAAAATAAATATTACACTAAATTATACATAAAAAAAGCAAAATAACACCATAAAACTTAAGTGGAGAAATATTTGTTGACTAATAGTTTCTTGAGCTGAGAATCGCTGGTAAAGTACAAATCAATGTCTACACTACGTAGTATGTTATTAAATGATTTGCACGACCGTATCATTTAAGAATTTCGTCGATAATTGCTATTGACCAATGGTATAGATAGGAGATATGGGTTACGCACGTTACGAGTGTGAACCTGAAGTTCTACTTTACTTAACAATTCTGGGCAATTCTGCCCAATTCGACGACTGGCAACACTGCGGTCGATTGAACGAGCGTTTTCTGTTAATTTACTACACAAAATATTATTGATTATTTGAACATGGAGGTCGATTGACGGTGCTGTTTGTTCAATTGTCAATTGTGGGTGTGCAGACTATAAAAAATACCCGATCATAGTCATCCGATATCGGTGTCAAAACCTCTAAACAAGCCAAATCATACGAGCCTGGGCTATTTGCGGCAACATTATAAAACAAGTTGCCAGTGGAGATTTGAATTTCGATGTCTTTAAAGCTTCATATGGGTGGCATAAGTTGAAGCTAACTGATTATTTAAGTGGGAAATTATATAACATTTTCTCCTAAGAACCGAAGAGGTTGGTTCCTATTATCACGTGCTCAGCGGTGAGGGAAAGCGTCGTGAGGAAACCTGCGAAAAAAAATAACAAAAAAAGATTATTTCGAAGATATGTGAAGTCTGCCAATACTCAGTAGGGTCCGGTGTGGTCTTTGCCCACTGATGGTACTAGCATAGGCTACTGATACTTTACGTTTTTTCACGATTTAACTTTACATTCCATTATATATCCGAATTAAAAGTAGAAATTTTCGCACACACGATGTGACAACGCAGATATTTTGATTAGGGTTGGCCTATGTTCATTCTTCTTGCTCACTTTTTAGAGGAACGCGGTCAGCCGTCTTCGAGCAAGTGACCCCGGTCGCGGATTCACCGCAACGGAGCGCGGCAACCCTAGCCTCACGCTCAGTGGCATTCTTCGCCCGCTGTAAACGGACACAGCGCTACGGATTGTCGCCGAAATGCAGCAAGACTATGGACACTAAGCTCTGCCTTGCGGCAACCTTACTTTTACTGATGTATCGAACGAAATACTATCTATCTTTCACTAGGCTGTCTCCCTCTCGAAAGAATTCTTCGCCCCGGCACATTTTGTCAACGTTCGTCGAGAATCTACTGTGCGTTGTATAGTCTTAAGGAAATTGCAATTATCTCGTATACTAAGGACCTAGTCATTTGTGGTCCGGGCATCGTTGTTGCTGCGAAAGCTATTTACCGAGAACTCTTTTGTGTTTATTGTATTCATACGTCTTATTTTTTTTTACGAAACCAACGAAGTAGTTTTTGAGCGATTTTTCGATTTGAGACTCAAGTTTTGATCATTTTTGATCGCACTAATAGTTGTTAAGTGAGGCGTAGTGGCAATATTACTTTATGGTGGTTAATACTGTCGAGATTATGAATAACAGCGTATAATAAAATAATAGTGACACGTTCGGATGCATCCCGGATAAGAATTTATGTTATCTTCGGCGAATCCGCTACCGCCGCCGCTTTTGAATTACGCGACGTCGCGAGTATGTAAACTGTTATGATCAAGTTTCTACGTTTAATTTAGTCTTAAAGTTTTATACGAACGCGTCCTCGAACGCAACCTAAAGTATTATGGGTTGGTGTCCGCCATCCGTTTGTTTTAAATTGAATTTAAAATGTTCGCTGATGTTTGTTTTTTATAATTCTTATAATTAAAATGTATTACACTTTTTTAATACGTCAATACTCTAGGAAAATCGGCGTCGATTCATTCCGGCGCCGAAAATATGAATTATTTCTAAGTAGTAATCTTAATGTATTTTCAGTCAATTGTTTATTTTGTTTTGCGTACAATTTGTAATTGATTCAATTGCAGATGTCAAGAAATTATAGGTTTGGTTTTTTACGTAGATTTACAGTTAGAATTCTTATAAGTCGTTCAGTTTGATTTATTAACAACATGTGCATAAACTTTTGGCTAATTTAACATTGGATAATCGATGCCCGGTCGTTTTTTAAATAATCAGATTTTGATAATCGTCTATGTGATGAAAACGGCAAACATTGACGGTAGCTCAAGACTGAAAAAAAAAACAATTTAAAAAAGCAGACGAGTTTGTCGATGTGTATATTTCTATTTATTGCTGTATTAAGTCATTCGCGTCCTCATTGTATATACAAAAATATGTATAAATAAAAAATAGAAAAACAAATCGTATGAATTTCGGAAGCTCTAATGAACGTGTTTTTACATGATTGCTCCATACTAAAATATATCTTATTTCGATGTTTCAAGCATAGTCAAAATATTTTTTTTACTACATTAAATTTATTTATTAATATTCGCCTCTGTGACATCTACTTTCTCTATTCTATCTAGAATCCTTTAAGAAGACCTCGAAGAGAGCTTTCAAAATTTTTACAATTTGACTTCAATTTAAATTATATAACGATAAAATTTCTGTAAATATCACAAAGATATCATCATGTACAGATCACGACAAAACTATTACTATACAAATTCATTAGCAATTATTTACCGAATACATCGTGTAAAGAATAGTATTGAATTATACAAGATTTAGATAGGTAGCCATTTTTTAACTTTGTTAATCAAGCAATTTTCTTATTGTAATGCTAGTTTAATAATTGCACAGTTCCGTGGGAGAAACGGACTGTTAAGTTTTTGTGATGTGTTACTTGTTATATAAGCAACGCGCGTTTTCAGCCAGAACTTTTCATATTGTCATAAACGTTCACACAAGCGCCGACATACATCGTCTTTGGTCAGATTGTCAGCATGTGCAGATAATGCGGCTGACCATAGACTAAACTTTTGGTCAATGGTGAGATTATCGCATATTATGTGTGAAGCTTACCATAGACTAGCAAGGAAAGCACAGGTTACCCGCCAGCAAATTGTTATCAGCAAACGACTGGTAATAAAAATTTTATAAGAAACTGAAGTCCTTTTTTTTCATATGACCCTAAAATAATTTCCTGGTCCCCTTCTAATGAAACAACGCGAAAGCTTAGATAATAAATAAATATTTAGGACATATTTTTATATAACATTCTCTAGTCCTAAACTAAACAACGCTTGTCCTATGGGTACTAGATAACTGTTTGACGTACTTTAAAATTCTATTCTTTTGTAAATAAATTTATATTATAAATATCGATCGATATTCGACTGGGAAAACGCCATTTTCATCACACAATATATTTCCAGTAGTGGGATCGAACTCACACCCTCTGGCGCAAGAGGCAGGTGCACTACCCACTACGCCTATTGGGACGTTTTTACCAAGCTAAGTCTAGACACAAAGGTGACTGATGCTCTTGCACCATATACCGGACCCAAATCTTAGAAAGTGATTGATGGATTTTTTCACATAGGGAATCTGTTAAACGCAAAACTCGCATCCAATACTTCTGGGAAGCACTCATTTACTTTGCGCTGTCCATCAATATGTGTCAGTTTAATTGAGTAGAAGGGAAGGAGTTCCTTAAAAAGTTGTTAAATACATCTAAAATTATAGTTTTAAAAAGTTTAACGGAGAAATCGTTATCAAATGAAATATTGGAATCGAACACGTCTTAAAATAAAAACTACAAAAATTTTAATTTTTCATCTTGAGTGCAGAGATAGTTTAAAAATTAATCTACGTATTTCGATCAATATTTTATTAACGTAAGAAGGTGACAAACAAGCTGGCGGCTTACCTTAAGTGATAACCACCACCCATTGACATTTGCAACACCCGTAGCGTTGCAGACGCGTTTCCAATCTATAATAAAGTTGACCCCGGCTGCCTCACTCACCAGACGAAACGCAAAAATATAACACTTCCACGTCACGCCGGTCTTCTGCGAGGTCGTGGTACTACCCTGGACGGACCTGTCCATTCGTGCAACAGCAGACTTGCTCGGCCCTGCCACAGCTATAAATCAATGGACGACAATATTTATTTATTCAATCTTTATTGCATTACATCGTCTTTATTGCATTTCAGATATATAAAAGTACTCTTCGCATTGCATTTAATACGGAACACAATAGGCGGACTTAATGCCTTTAGGCATTCTCTGCCAGTCAAACTGCGGTGTGGTGAGATCTTTAAGCGGGTGCAATAATAAAACTAAATAAAATTAAATTAGAAAATAATCAACCGAAAGAGTAACAAAATTACACATACATACAATAATACATACATACATAGGACAATATTAATAAAACGCAATACGTTGGGACAAAGCATAGTTTTATTTAAAAGGACAAATATCGCATCCACTTGTACGGTTAAAATCCGTGCAGTTCACTTCTTCGGCGGCTGCTTCTTCTTGGGCTTCTCCTTGTAGGGGCCGAGCTTGCGCCTGACGAGCAGGCCCCGCCACCAGGCCTGCACCATCACCGCCGCCTTGGTCATCCGCTCGCGGTACTGCCTGATCCTCTCGCGCTCCGCCTTGAACGCCAGCCAATCCTGCATCAGCGTCGCGTGCCCCTCCAGCTGGAAAGCGACGGATTTCATTTATTTTATTTAGGTTTATCAACAATTGTTTACACTGGATACTCCTTAAAGCTTACAATAAATAACTTAAGATTGAACATATGTTTATTAGTGTAACAATTGCTTAAAGATAAACACCACATGTACAAATAAAAAATATAAAATTAAATCAAAAATAAACTAAATTGAATAGTAAATTGAAATTGAAGTGAAAGTAAATTGAATATAGTAGACTGTGCACGGGTAATCAACACAACAACTTTTTTTGACGATAACTGATGAATATTGTTATTGGCCAACTAGATAAAGAGCTATACATATTTTTTTTTATTTTTTCAAAAGAGTCGCGTTTTTCATTTTTTCTGTAGTCGTTGATAATTTTACAAAAATTAGCAAAAGGAGAGTTACGACCTAAAACTGTTCTTCGTAATGGAGGACAAAGCGGTGTGATGGCTTTGCGAGGAATTCGTGAAGGAACACGGAAATTAAGAAATTTCATGCAATGAAATTGTCAAGACCTGCGAGACAATACGAACGTAATACTAAACGGCTGAACTCACGTCCAGTTGGTTTATGTACCGATTATTTTCGGACGCATTTATAGACTGGGAAAGAGAGCATCAGGTTACCCAAATTGAATAAGAAACAGACGTCGTAGCTCTTCTGATGTTGCAAGTTCCCAAGGGTTGATCACTTACCATCAGGTAAGCCACTTGCTCGTTTGCCTCCTTTTCACAAACTCCGTTTGACAAACAGCTGTTACCGTGGCGAAAGTAAATGAAGTATTTTATTCAATTCAGGCTTTTTCAAGCACACGCCGTAGTCTATATCTGTGTTTAGAAGTCTCGAGAAGAGCTGATAAGAAACGGAGCGGAGTCCTGCAGATATGGTCAAGGTGACGAGAAAATTGACAGGCTCTTCCTAATTGCAATGACAGATTTTCCAGATAATATGCATTAAATATTTACTGCAGTAACATGAATGATTGTAAAACGCTTAAGCAGTATTATTAAACATGTTAGAAAATCTTACTAAACTCTGCAGAATGACTCCTATGCTGCAAAATCAATTTGTACCTTACTGCATTGAGATGATAGATGCAAAACATTACCGTATTTTCGAGCATCCACCTCTTCTCCAAGGTGGTTTCATAATCGGTTCTCATGATCTGAATCTTCAGGTCTACTCCCTCCATGTCCTTGTCGTATTTGTTCATCCAGTTTTCCACCTTCTCCAACGTCTCCTATAAAGTCAAACGATATGGGAACAACGCTGGTGAATTTGAACCGACTGCCGATTTAATCGAATTAGACATCAGAGAGCCACTGCTAAAATACTATTGTGACGTATGGTAATCGACTGCTTTGGCTGTACTTTGTTGTGATTAGCATAATTATATGGCATTGGGAAACACAATCATTTTTCATCTCTACGGTAATGATTCCGAACGGCACTGAGGTCTATCCCGGGTTTATTTGTCAACGGCTAGACAGGGTTTTTTATCTATGAGACAGGCTCTTTTGTAACGTACGCTTAAGGTAATTTACATAAACTTGTAATTATACAACATCCCTGGAGGACTGAAGTTTTATTTCATTACGCCTCATGGCCTCATATACATCATATCACGTAAAGTATAAGCCGAATGTGCCACAGACTTTCCATGAAAAGTTAATTATTTAATTGTGAATGGTGATATGTCCTAAATTGATATGAATTCAAAAAGCAGAACCTTATAGATATCAACTTAAAAATAACTAAATAAACGTCTAGTTATATTTTCTCTGCCATAGTACATATTATCTTGTATCTTGAACTTGTCACCTACCACGATCTTTACATGTATTTTTGTTTCATCAATACTTCTACATACATTGCTTTAGAATACTTTTCTCTCTATAACCGTATCGATAATTTGGCCGATATATGTCATTTCAGCCCTGAAAAGACATTCATTGGCAAAATTGCTAATCCGAGCCCCCTAATTATCTAGCGTGAAGACAATTAGTTTCTAAGATTTGCAAATTTAATGTTGTTATTATTAATTTTAAAAGGTTAGAAAACTGACCGATGTGCAGAATCAATTTTACACCCAGTAAATCAATAACCAATAAAATCAATACTTCGCGGAGCGTAAAACTATTTAGTCACTAATCAGATTTGCACTGTGAGTAAGACATTGACTTAAAACAGCGTTACTTGAGTTTGTCCACAGCGTTAGACAAGAGTTTAAGTGAATTGATTGTTTGAATTTGTTACAACATAAAAAGTTAAGTCAGTACAGTAGCTCAATATACATAAAAAAAAAACATTTCGTCAATTTTAAACGCTATCAAAAATACTGTACAGTACATTGTAATCGGGGGTCGCGGGTTCGATTCCCGCATTAGAAATTGTGTAACTCTAGTTGTAAACTAAATGTTTTTTGATCTGGGTGTGTGTCCACATGAAATTAATGTATGTAAAACATTCACACAACACAGGATAATGTTATCCTACAGACAATGCTATTAAAAAAATGCCATTCAAATGAAGAAAACACAGATGAGGTCAACACAAGCTACTTTCCTCTCAGCCATTATCTCAATACTCACTTCTTTCACAAACATATTCTTCACACAGTCAATTCAAATCTTTCTCAGTCTTCCTCTAGTTTCCTACTTCCTACACCCTCCAACCACATTCAGGCTCATCACACTTCTAGACACGACTTTCATCCCTTCTCATAACGTGTCCATGTCAACATACCACCACTTCTAGTTTTCGTCACTTTTATTTTTTTTTTTTCACTTTTAATTTTAATTTTTTTTATTTTTTTTCACTTTTAATTTTTGACGCCAGTTCCCGTTTCGTAATACAAGCGAACGTTAAACTGATTACGAGAGATCGATTCACGTTAATAATGATGTTGTTCAGCAGCTCGAATTCCGAGTGCACCCTCTGCTCGTGGTCGAAGCGCTGCTTGTATGTTTCGATCGCGTCCGCCGGCGGCGTCTCTTGGCCGTAGATGTTCCTGCGATGCTGCTCGGTGCGCGAGCGCTGCCAGTTCTCGATGTAGCGCGACTGGATCTCGGCGTTTAGGGCGGCGTCCTTCGGATATATCTCCAAGGTAGTCGCGGTTAGTCCGAATCTCGAATACACTCCTCGAGACTGCTTGTCTTTTTGCGAGGTGTTTTACGTGACAACGTTGCCAACCAACCGAGCGAGCGAACCCTGGCGACTAGCCTGATGGTGATTGATTACCACCGCCCATGGACATCAACGCTACAGGCGTTGAAGATGCGTTGCCAACCTTAACAAAAGTGTGCCCGAAATACCCAACAGTCAAAAAGCGTGAGTATAATAACTTCCATTTCACGCCGGTATTCTTTGAAGTGATGGTTCTTCTCCGGATGAGCTCGGTCTTTTTGCTGAGTAAGGATCTAGAGACAGTGATAGACGCAGAGGAATCTCTATACGTTCACGAAATCCCGCAAATGGCACATCTTCTGTCGGTGTCTACATTTAAAATCTCATAGACTTAAACGATGTTTCTGCTTCCATGGAATGAAACCATCATTGAAAGTACTCTATTTTTCTATGGGAAGTGCCCCAACATGATCGAGGATCGATTGGATCAACATCCACTGTTTAGTATTAAAGGTGTAACAGCTCAGTTTACAACGCACTGGCACAGTGTCGCTGATCAGTTGCTGCAGTAATAATTCCCACTAAGCAGCCGGTAATTAATGGAAGCGGTAAGTGACACACTGAGTTATATCTCAGCCTTCAAGAAAATATACTATTCGCCGGAAAAGCTACTTCTACTCCTCCGGTATTTCAAAGGGTCTCGGGCGGCGGAACACCTACCGCAGTATATCGATTGTGCGCTTGCTTCCTTCAACATTAAAAGAACTCATACCTCCACTTGCGTCCTGAGCTTCTCTATCGCAACGTCCGTATCGTAAGTGACGGTCTTAACGTGGACCCCGCTGCTGGCGAATTTGCCGGTTAAGGTCGCGTCGGTTTCTGCGAAGTCGAGAACGTTCGAACTCATGTATATCTCCTAGCTTACCCTTGTAGCTCTTATACACTCTACTCTTTTTCCTTTGCTTTAGACGAAGATAAGTGGATTACGTTGTACTTCTACCTCGGTCACCAATTTCCAACGTGGCATAAAAATGCTCGGGCTCTAGCAATGTATGACTGGTAGAGGAACCCTGGATCTATTAGGGCAATTTAGGGTTCTATGCTCTAATTATACGACAAGCTGTGGTGACATGTGTTCAAGAATATTCTATGTAAACGCATTCTATGTAAAAATATGAATAAGCTTCAAAAGTTAAAGAACATTATCAGTATAAGTCATTATCAGTATGTTGGGTTTAAATAAAATTTATCAAACGCCATAGTATTGGATTCCACAAAAAGAAGGAAAAAAATATGTTTTCAAGATTAATAATAATTATAATGGACAAGTCGATGCAAAAAAATTGAAAAAAAGAAACAAGCCTTTTCTAAGATTATTTTTGCGAGTAACAAGCTCCATTTCGTAAATAATCGGAATTCACGGCCACACAATGGTTGTTGCATGGTTGTTGCATGAATGGACAGGTCCGTCCGGAGAAATACCGCGACCTCACAAAAGGTCGGCGTGAGGTGGAAATGTTATACTTCTCTGTTTCGTCTGATGAATAAGGTAGCCGGGGCCCATTTTATTACAGCTCACTTGCCATGTTACAAACAACAATCATAATAATATTACATAACCTGATCACTACATAAGCGTCATTTAAAAGTGTAACGATCACAAAAGTTTTGTCGTCAAGCTTAACCACAGACAGGTCACAGCTTAAGCAATAACGTCAGAGTACTGACAAACGTAAGGAACGATTTGTGTGTAAATAAAAATACATTGATTTGATCACTGACGTGCGATTCCTGGCTTCGTCCTCCAAAAGCGTGAGGTAATGCTGTTCACGCTCCACCATCTGGGCCGCGTGGCTTTTCAGAGCGTCGAAACTCCTCTCGACCGACAAATCGAAATACGTGGACGTGAACACTTCAATCAGGAGTTTCCTAAAGGGAGTAAGTAAGACCTGTATTCTAAGCTTCACTTATTGCTTAGACTCCTGAGCCAAAGCAGTGTTAGGCGAATAGCTATTCTAAAAAGCCGTTCGGTGGATAACAGTCGACAAAATTGCGTCGGCAGGAGTTTTAGCATCTCTTATGTAACTCTCTGCTGTCTGTTTTAGCATGATCGGGAGGTGGCAAGCTCTCTTAAGCCTTCGAACATTGCATATTTTGACAAAAGATAATTCTAACTCGATACATAAATTTATTTATTTAATATAGGCCGGCCATATAGCTCATAGAGGTGATAAAGATGTGATAGAGAAGGACGATGGAGTGACGACCTGTGCAAATGTGCGGGAAGTCGATGGATACAGGGGACTCAGAATCGTACTTCGTGGCGTGGTCTATGTTCAGCAATGGACTCCAAAAGGCTGAAAATATGATGATGATGATGATAATAATGACATAATCATATCCATGTATTTTTTTGTTTCATTATTGTATATAGAGATTGTTCTTCTTTGTTTTCCAAGAAATATAATATGAAACGATATAATACCTAAGTTAATTCAGTGCAGACAACCGTAAATATCTATGACAACCAAATGTATGGTTGTGTCCGCTGTTCAAAGTTAAAGTCAACACTTCTTTATTAAAAATATGCTTATTTCAAGCTTTTATTGAACGTCAAGAAACCATGTGTAATCTGATATATGAAGGCCATGGCATCACAGAGAACCATATAAACATCGCCACAAAATACAAGCTATTACTGTTACATCTGATGTAACTATACAAACATCCTTCTAAAGGCTGGAAACTGTCGAATTATTGTGGTGTTACGGTGCACCCGCTTGCCTTCTACCTTCCATAAAAACCCAGTTTCACGAGACCCACCTATCCGACTCGAGCTTGTGAAGTTTGTACTCCGCCCGACCGAGGTCACGCGGGTCGACCTTCGCCAGTGGGTCAACCGTGAGGGCGGGCGGCACTGAGAACTTCACCGCTAGCAATTCTTCCATGTCCGCCATTGCTTTCGTCACGCGTAGACTGTTGTTGCATTCAACTGTAAAGATGCCGTGCCGAGATAGAAGTTTGATCTAATTCGTCTCATTCTCCTGTCCTTGTCTTATGTAGGCGAGGTTTGCACATCATGCGAATCATGTTGCTAGTGTTATTTGCTAGGTTTTTTTTACTAACAATTTATAATCGAGCACAAAATTTTGAATTTCGCAACATATTGATATTACTTTTGGATAATTTATAATTCCTACTGGTACAGTTTTTCACTGCACATAACTTCTGCTAAAGTAGTAAAATCTGCTTCTCTAATATAAATTCTGCTTTGACTACGTTTCTAGAAATTTTTCAGTTCATAATGTTCAGTTCAAATTCATCTACAATATAGGCAAAGTACTAAAATTTAAGCCCAAAAATGTACAGTTTTTAGGCTCTAGTATATAGACGTCACAGCTCAATGAGCCGTGATGGCTCAGTGTCTGGGCGCTCGCTTTTAAGTCAATATAGTCGAGCACCTTGAGTTCAAATCACGGTGCCGATACTGTTGAAATTGTCAATTGCAATTTTACTTAATGACTTATCTCACGTGTCTACGTTGAAGGAAAACTAGCGAGAAAACCACCATATTTGCGAAATAATAACAAATAAAAATATTTCATGGATATGCGAAGTATCTATGAAGTTAAGGAATCCGCAGTGGGGTTGCATGACGTGATATGCCTTAATACCTTATGTACAGAGGACACCTGACCAGCAGTGGGACATATATAGGATGTTAGATGTGTTGTTTGTCATCCCAATCACCGAAACGTTACTTTCAAAACTCTCCTAGCTACCATGAATGTTTAAAATACAAATGCGACTCGGTACTGTAACAACAAGCGCATCCAATCTAGCAATAGTAACCGGTATATTGTTAAAATTTTAAGATCGATATGATAAAGAATAAACAATTAAACTCACCAAGGATCCGCATCGTGGTTATGGAATCTTCCAGTACGGTGGCAAACAAACACGCGGTCAGGTAAGGCAACCTAAAAGACGGCAACTTATAATAACACATTGATAAATAATATACACATTGATAATATTATTAATAATGCTTTTAGGTTGTTTGGATTTGTTATGCGTTCAACCGACGACTTTAAGCGTCCTTCGACTTTCCTACTCTTATACAAAACCTTGGTTCGTTCTCAATTAGAATTTGCTGTTCCCATATGGAATCCCTTCTATGAAAAATACATTTCAAGAATAGAGATTGTACAAAAGAAATTCTTACGCACTATGCACTTTAAATGTTTTCACGCTAGGCTGTCTTATGTACAATTATTAGAAAAGTATGAGTTATTGAGTTTGGAGTCCAGGCGCATTCTTGCTATGGCTATGTTGTTATATGGATTATGTAATAATAAATTCGACTGTATGGAGCTTACTAACAGGATTGCTTACATTGTACCAAGAAGAGTTACCATACGCGATGCACGCGTGCCCCGATTGTTCTACACTGAAAAGTGTAGAACAAATGCTGGGCAGCGAGCACCGCTTCGTAGAGCGCTAGATGTATATAACTCTAAATTTATGAATTGTGATTTGTTTTCACTTTCCCAAAATCAATTTAAAAGAATGGTTACACTAATACTTAAAAAATAATATGCAAATTAGGCTAGGAACCGACTTACTCTTTTATTTTATTTAACTTAATATTATTTTGTGGACATTGGTGTGGGTTATACGTTTAGTTTAATAATTAGAAATTCCATTTTATGTATAATTGTTAATGTATAACTGTTTAATGTCCCAATAAATTAAAAAAAAAAAAAAAAAAAAAAAACTTACTGTGGAAGAACTACGCAACGTCTTATGCTGTGGCACGTATGGCTTAACCGGAGAAGTACCAGGCTCTCGCATAAAATCGGAGTAAAGTAGTATTTATTTATTTACTTTTCGTTTGGGAAATGAAGTAAATCCCCTTGAAGGCTAGGAACGCAACTGCTGCAAAATTAAACGCGTGGTAAATGTCCATGGGTGTAGCCTGGTACTTTGAAACCTTCCTCGTAAGTAAACAATCTGTTTAGCTGCTTACTTTTAATGGCAATGTTTGCCATGATTTTAGACATACAATGGTTTTGATTTACATAAACGCTATCCTTGTTATGAAACTTAAATAAATGTCCTATCCTATCCAAGGTATACCTTGGAACTAAAAATATTAAGTACAATTATTATGGTTTAAAACGCGAAAAGACTTACTGATCTACATTGCTTGACCTATCGTCAGTGCAGTCCATATCGTCCTAAAATTGAAAGAACATTTGTAGTGTTTTTAAAATAACTACAGAAGCAGGGATTATAAACTGTGTTCCACCGATAGAACTTATCCCAATCGAAAAACTGTAATACATTTATAGGCCAGTATTGATCAAGATCCACTAATTTTGACAGTACAATATTTTTAGTTTTTTTTTCTCGTAAAATAACCAACCTAAAATTAAGCTAAAGGGTCAAAAAATCTTATGGACATCCAATCTGTTCATTGTAGAGAAAATTTTGGGAAAATACCCTGTCTTAACCACAACGGGGTCGTGAAAGGCAAAATCCCTACCTCTTGGATTATATTCAAATCATATTCATTTATCATTTTTGATAGATTTGAGTTAATTCCTTTATTTATCAGATCTCCACTTTGTCGCAAAATGAACTAATTATACGATTAGACATTTTATCCAGGAGTTTAAACAATAGCATTCAGTAAAAAAATTGCTGTCATTTCCTTCTCTATCTTTTAAAAAACAAACTAAAAAATGAAGTACTTATTGTTTTAAACCAGTGTAATAATATAGGTATTTAGCAGTAAGTTCATTTAACAATATTATTTCAATACTTTATGTCCTTCTGTTATAATAATATTTTAATAATCACACACAATAATTGTCAATATTAATTAAAGTTACATAAAACTCTTTTTTTAAATTAAAATAGAGACAGTATTTTTATGAAAGAGCAGAAGCTTTTCTTTAATAGATTCGTACAAATGAATCGAATAATTCAATGGTAGAGTCAGGAACTGTGAGTGAATGTATATGAAAGCCTGTTCGTAAGAACGATGTAAAGAAAAGAAAGCAAATTACATTAATGTTTTTTTTTAATTCATACCTATTTTTCGTAGGTGTAATTTAACTAATACAATTTTATTAATTACTTCCTAGCCACCTTGAGTTTTAAAAACATCATCATTATTAACAGTAAGAAACAATTCACTCACGTTTTAATAAAACAGTGTTTTTTTTCTTAATTATTCTTATATCATTTTAATAATAATGTTTTAATTTAATTAATAACACCTGTTATATACCGAATTGTACATAAAGATAATTCTTTCGATAAGAAATCGATTTCATATTTCGCACATCACTATTTCCAGCAATGCAAACGTCAATGGTGTCACGTGACTGTCTCATCCAATCAAAGATCACAATTTTGATTTACAAAAACTAACTTCATGAAGGTAATATTAAATTGTATTTTAGGCTTTGTTTACCAGTTTTATTATGCCTGAAAAAGAAAAGGTGAGTTAGAACATTCAGTGTTTATTTTTTTTATTAAACTGTAAATTAAATGATTTTGATGGTGATCAAAAAACAATACTAACATAAGTGTTCGGCATTCGCTATACGCTTTACTCGTAAACTTATACTATGGCATGCCATGTCAGTTCGGTTATGGTATGTTTCTGCATAATTTCCGTGTGTAAAATCAAAAATCATCGTTAAATAGTGAAACCGCGTCAAATATTGGTGGTGTGAAAGTTTTAGTGAGAACTATTTTTCGCAGGAGGCGATGAAGACTAAAATAGATAAAAACAAAAACGGAGATACCGAAACTGAGGTAAGTTGTTTATTCTAAATTTTCGGTAACGACAAATCTGTGAGAATTAAAATCAGAACGAACTGGAATGTTTTACAGGGTGAAACAACGACATGCAGTATTTTATGTAATTGCCTCTCGTTAATTCTGCATTTGACAGTTAATGCAGTTGTTACTTAGAGATGTATTTTAATCAGATAATTCTTATTCGATAGGCTAATTTCCAGCTTTGCGAATGTTTGAGCTTAATGTTATAGAGATGTTTCAGTAAAATATTTTACATTACTTTTAAAGAAATTTAAGGGAGTATCAAAAAGAGGCTTTGAATTATTGTTTATACAAAAATCTTTTATATTAACTAATTTATATCTTCAAGTAAATCTTGTGAGGCTCATTCATAATTTGTTGTCACAGCAATTATATTTAAGTTTTATCTCTGTTTGCCTTCTATTTATAAGAAAGAAATAAATGCAACACTGCTACCCTCCCAAAACGGACTAAAATATTCACCAATGCTGAAAAAGTTTATTTTATGTAATCAATTCTTCCAAATTTATAATATAAAACTGAAGCAATATAACCATCATAAAGTTAATTTGCACTATCAATATAATATAAAGAATATCAAACCTGAAGGCCAAATCAACCACAATAGTTGTTCAAATAGTTTACATAAGAGCATTTAGACTATAAGGTATGTATATGAACAAATTCTATAGTCTCTAGTGCACATTAACAGCCACATAGGATTTAAGAATTTAATTTCCTTGATGAAACACTGATAGTTTTGACTTTGGGTCAGTCCCTGTCACTGATTATGCCAACAGCTGTAGTAGACGAAATGGGCAGTCTCACCCTGGGTAATACCATGGCCTTATAGAAGACAAGTGTGAAGCGGAAGTATTATATATTTTCACCTTGAGTGAGAAAGATGTGTCCAAGACTATTTAGTTTTTTAAATATTAGCAATGCATCTGAAACATAATGTGCGTTGTTAATCCATAGGGTGCATATGTAATTAATTAAAATAATGTTAACCGCACATTGTTTAGCACATTATCATATTAAAAACGAGTACACATACCTTATAGTTTACACCTTTCAGTTATCAGTCAATCTTATAGGCATGTTAAATTGTATGTTAAACAAGATTGAATTTATAACCATAACCAAACAGAGACTGTAAAAAAAATTAAAAAAAATTAAAAAGTAATATAAACACGATTTGCTTTATTGAAGGAAAATAAAATAATTACAGGGTTGTTAATAGTCCATACTCCATATTATTTAATTCATAAAAATAGTAAAATTTGTTTTTTGTATTAAACAGATAATATCAAGGACGAGAGTTGTTAACTTTTTCACTAATAACATAGTTTCTGTACTAATTATTTTTGATTTAAGTTATAATTTAAATATAGTTATTGTACTAATTAAAAGGATTATAGCAGGATAGAATATTATATATAACTTTCTTAGCATATAATATTTCTTAAGGATCTGGATATTTGATTATGCAGAATTTATAAAATAACACTTCGACACAGGGATTTCATTTTAAAAATGGAAAAGCGAAATAGATTTTCTCTTTCTACTTTTTTCCTTTTATTGCCTACTTTTATTCCCCAACAAGCAGTGATAGCTCATTGTCCGGCCGCTCGTTTTAATTCAATAAACTCAAGTAACCTGAGTTCAATCTCCAATGTTGGCACCAATGAAGTTGTTAATCTTAGGTGCTGACATATCACATGGTCAGGGGTGAAGGAAAACATTGTGATGAAAAATGCACATGTTCGAAATGGTAACAAAAAAAATATTTCGAAGATAATTATGTGAATCCACAGTGGGGGCGCATACTTTATATTCCCCAACAGATTCTGAAAACGATATGGTAATGGTATGCATTGAGTCTTGTGATGGCTTAATCCATTACAATAACTGAAAAACTAACTTATTAATTGCATTCCTTCCATATTAGATTTATTTCTCCTGCCTTTATCCCACCTATGAAGGTTGCGTAAAACACGCAAATGACATTGTTAGTGATATTGGTTAGGACCATCGGGCCTGACAACAACTCTCCTTGGGAACAAACACCTAAATACTGAACAATTGTCTGTGGGTCATAAAAATACTTGTCCTGTGTGGGAATCGAACCCATGACCATCGGTCCAGACCCACGGTCATGAATTATAATGAAACAATAATGAGTAGTAATAAAAAATTGGACAGGTCTTGTCAGACTTAATTATGTCTACATAATTTATCCCCTTGTAATACGGAATTTTATCATCTCTGGCAAGTCGCCTTAATTTACAATTATTGTGAATATACCGTGGCGTGGTATTATTAATTGTTGTTTATTGCCGGCGAAGCTATCTTTGTAATTGGATCGCCATTGACGCATTGACTTTTTTTTCGAACCTTCCAATTTTACTGGCGCGCATTTAGTTAGCAACATAACACCTACACATCGTCCGTTGTCCCTCATTGTTTTGTTCGCGCGTGTTGACATCCGCTCCGCGTAATTGCCGATGCATCGTAAACACTGCGCGTTTCGCGTAACGCATTCAATCCTTGCCTTAGACGACGCTGCGATAATGAACCT